AACTAAAAAATTTCAAATTTAACTCTTTTAGTGCAGCCTTTTTCGCGGACCAGCAATTTTCCAATTGTCGGGTCACTTGAGTTTTACAACTGACATAACACATAGCTGCACAATTAACTTCCCGAACTTCGAGGGACAGTATTTCACAGGGTTAGCTATTGTGATTCCTTGCGATCTTGCTACGGCACGAAAAGTGCAAAACGCATAATCGCACCGGCCTGCCTGGTGCGTTTCAGCCTGGGTTTAATTCGGAATGTGTTGAAAAATTTTAGCGCAGCCAAACACCTAGTTATTTCTTTCGTTTATTACCAATTTTCAGTTTGCAAAAGCTGACAACGGTGCGATTCCGACACCCAAAACGTTTCGTGGGGCCGGCACTACCTCGTTTTCCTTACATTCCAGCAAAACGACAACTACGTCGAGTGCCGCTGCATCCAGTTCAGCAACCAGAAAAACTTCAACAGAAACAGCTATCACTACCGCAGCAATATCGAAACTTTCGTCTTCCAGTACTTCTTTTGCTCCAGCAAATGTTTCCGTGACGAAGCGCAACATTTCGCAGGGGAATCGGACTTCTGGGGAGACGACTACAGCAGAAGCAAGTGGAAATTCGGCCAAGCGACACAGTTATATCAGGCCCACGATAGACGCAAGCACGGAAGATATACTCCTGAAAAAGAAGGAAGTGGCACTGGCGCCGAAGGTAGCGTGAGCTACGTTTATACTTCTTAGAATCGGTTCTAACGCTTTTTTGGGCTGAATAGAGTGCTTCTTAGAATTTCTCAATGTGATGAAGCTCACTCGTTTAATCATTTTAGTAAGAAGTCATACGGCAACGCACTAGGCTTACTGGTGCGGTCATGCATTTTTGATTGATTCCATCCTGTAGAGAGATCGCCTGTACTACTGAGATGTGAATGCGATATTGCAGTTTGAAAATTTGATGCATCTGTACGCAAGGCTCATGTCTAGGCAGAAGCTTATCTTTTACTGACCTGCGCATGAGCAGCATACATCCTCAGAAAAAATTGCTTCCTATCCGGTCTGTTTATCAGGTTAACTGGTGGCAACATTGTCCCGAATTAAATATCCACATGTGCGCGAGAAAAAACTAGGTATGCTAGAAAATTGAACCTGAAACATTTAGGTTGCATATTAGCGAGGAATACCGTCGTAAAGTTCCAACCTCCCAGCTTGATTGGTTAGCGAAGTCGCTTTTCGCTACACAGGTCTTTTACGTGTTCGAACGCGGGCACTTGGGCGTAAAAAAGTCTACCTGCCCACGCGCGAGAAATGAATATTTTTGTAAAGGGAGAGGGGATATTCCCATCACTTAATTCCTGAATTGGCATTTTGCTGACAGTATCTCAATTTCATGTTTAATGTTTCCGTACATGTGATGCAGGTGTACGTTTAAGCTAAGTTTGAAATCTTTAGTTCAAAAAACGACATAGAACATACACGTGTAATTTCTGTCTTTTATCTGCTGCAGTTCCTGAAGTTGTTTTCCCACCAAAAAATTCGCATGAATTTTTTTAGTCCCAGGTGTACATGAATGTTGATTTTAAAGTATTTGGATGGCCCATGGACTAAAAATATCCTTGTGAAATTCTAGCGTCGTAGCTTCTGCAATTGTCCGGGACAAAAATCAGAACACATGCACACAGACAAACACACACATATACACACCAACAGCCTCTCGACAATTTACGTTTTTGTAAAGGTGCGAAAATGCATAGAAAATGTATAAATTGGCGTGATTTTAATAATAAGGAACAAATGAGTAAATTATTGTAATGGCTTATGGTGTAAAAAAATGGGATCGGGAGATGGGAGAAGGGGTGGGGGGAGAGGGCGAGAGGAGGAGAGGGACTTTTCAGTTCGGCTGAAGTCCTTGAAAAATAGAGTTTCGAGTACAATTAGAGTCTAATTTTCAGACTGCTACACGGACTCCAGTTACTTTGCCGACTGATCTCGACGCATTGGGGAGATTTAATTCAGAGCGAGAATATTCTCCTGGACGGTTGCGAGCAACCGAGGAAAGACTTCCGGTAGCACCTGAAAGGAAACGAAATGGGGACACTTTTACTGAAAGACGCGAGGAGAAGCGAGTGGGGATTCTTGGGAAAAATGAGCATCTGGCTGTAACTGAAGCAAAATATGTGGAACGAATCGAGCAGCGGGTGATACAACGAGATGATGCACTAGGGCGATTCCGAGAAGGTGAAGTGACCACGGAGCGGGAAGTCCTCAGGAAAGAAAATGTTGCTTTCGGTGAAAGGAGTGCCCTACGAACTGCTCCGAAAGGTTTTTTTATCCTCTTCAACATTAGTACTGACTTGCTCTAAAATGCTTTTCTTCGCTCTTTTTTATGCGTTTTTGCTTGCTGTGCAGAAACACATATTGTCGAGAGATCGTCTGTGTGTGTTTTCGGAAGTGAGTGAACTTTGTCAACCACTTTCATCTCAGCAACCAGGAAAGTTGGGAGGCTGAAATTTTGGATATATGTTCCTATCCCGTGTTTCTTCCTCCCGCTTTAAAATTTTCGCTCATACGTGCTTAGACCCCGCGTACGGACCCCCGAAAAAAATACGCAAATTTCTTTGGCAAGAAACGATTTTGCAAACCAGACAAGGTAAAAAGCTGAAACTTTGCAGGGATATTCTCTGTGCATGTGCGAGCTAAAGATTTCAAGTTCAGCTGTCATGCACGCTTGTACAACGCGTACGATCAAGTCAAGATTTGCAGCTTGGTACTGTGCTAACTCACGTGCCGGAAAACAATGGCTGAAATTTTGTCAGCATGTCTATCGCTCATGTAGGAAATCGTACACCTAAAATGAGTACTGATTTGCACTTATGCCACGTCTTAGGCACTTCAGTGATATTTGTAGCGAAGTGGCTGTTTCGCTTACGGGTAAGGTGCGGGGCTGAAACTTCGCTGAGATATTCTACTTTCGAATGCTGTCTTAATTCTGCTTGGAAGTGAAATTCCCTGCAGATGGTCATGAGAAATACTCAACTTTACCGAAAAATCAGAAACGAATGCGTTTTGCAGCGAACGACCGCTTTCATCCTCTCCCAACATGTAAATTAACTCACTTACATGTTTGGATTTTTTGGCGAACGACCGCTGTAGCAACATTTCCACTTTTCAGTGAACTGGAAAGTGGAAATGGAAATTTGCGTCTTTTCAAAGACTGATTATTTACTAGAAAAAGGACCGGGCTTTATGCAAAAAGCTGATAATCATGTACCTGGAGGTCCATGCGGCCGTGTAATGCAACACCTCCATCCCAACCGATGCTCTTTTTCATGCATGTCGGAAGAGACCAAAGTAGGGCCAATATGAGCCCAAGTGTTAGACTACAGTGCAGGGATCATTTCTACTACTAGCGTTGTGCAAGTTTAGTGCAACCCAGGCTGGAACGCACCGGGCGGGCCCGTGCGATCATGCGTTTTTGCACAGGACTTGA